TTTTTTATATTAAGTAAATGTTGACGGCAGAAGCCGATAACAAAACTGTAATCTTTTAATTTTTTTTCACTTTTCATATAAAATCATAAACCCCGCACTTCGTTATTATGTATACTTTAATTGTGGAAAAGGATTTGTTGATATCTATAATCAACAACAATATTTTACACGTTAACTAATATTCGTCGTTAAAACGTTAAAACAGACCTTTAGGAGCCCTTTAAGTTAAAAGTTAATAACTTTTCAACTTTTTAACTTAACTTTTAACTTTTTACTACCCAACTGAATCTACATGTGCTGTTAGGGTAACAATGATTTGAAAAGATTGGAGCCTGTATTAAATGACTTGAAAGATCAACATATCAAAGCTATCTCTCCCTCGTCATTAATAAAAGAAGGTACAGATAAATGGTATGTATAAATTTTCAAAATAAACATACATACATATATATTCCCAGACAGCACAAAGATGTCCTTAGGACGTCCAAAGGGCATCCAGGACATACATGTAGGATATCCTGAGGATATCCCATTTTAATCCTCGGATCTCCTCTGAATGTTCTGAGGAAAAGTAAATGATAGCCGAATAGTAGCCTCTGGAGAATCCAGGGAGATCCTATGGAACATCCTAAGGATTTTTATGGGATATGTTAGGGATATTTTTCGTACGTTTCAGGGAGCAAATTCTGAAAATTGCATCCTGTTATTTATTGCCAGTGCTGAAAATGTAATACTGAAAATAGTTCACGTTTTTTGATATTTGAGACTTTCGTAGTCTACATGAATATTAGGTTTGGTTTTCGGATTTGAGCCGTGTAATATTTTTTAAACAATCCAATATCTGATTTCCCTATGTTGAGATTGCATCAGAAATTGAACTGAAAGAAAATAATTACATTTTTCATTTCCTGCCAATTGCACTTTACAAGCATTATATAATTCTCATGACCAAATCTCAAATACGAGATCGCGCGTTGCATAGCGGCAAACAAACGAACTAGCGGCTAAATACTATTTTTTGTAACGTTTTTGAAATGTTGCGCACAGTAATATTTTCTCATAAATTATTAAATAAATAATAATTTTGAATATATGAAAATGTGCGCATCAAATTCAATTATTAATATTAAACGAAATTAATGTTAACAATTAATTGCACATGTATATGTCCTCTGGAAATCCAAAGGATATCCAATATAATAGACAAGGCAGATATCCTACAGACATCCAGGATTTATCCAGTGGACATTTATAGGAGATTAATACTTATAATACTTAAGATTTCTAAATTATATGAAATAGCATACATAACTAAAAGTAATCATGTATGCATATTAAATTTTCATAAAACATATTTATAATAATATCTTAAAACATCTTACAAATGTCCTAAACCATCCTGGACATATTCAGAATAATCCTGAGGATGTTTTGTGCTGTCTGGGTTCGTTCTATATTTGCTACATATCCGCTGTTATGATATAATAACAAATATTGTAATACTCGATTTTTGCTCCATTTTTTTCATTATATTATACCGGCTAGCCATGTTGATAGAAATGAAGCTTAATATAAGGACGCAGCACACCGAAATCTGTTGCAAAGTCATGATTAAATTTGCTGGCATACTGCTAGCATTTTGCTATCTAAGATCACAGATCATTGGATTGGTTTTAACCTATCTATTACAACACGATGATAAAAACATAATACCATCCAAAAGAATATCGATGACCTTGAAATTTCAAAAAATATGATGCTGAGCATTTTTTTGCTTATCGTAATATGTGTATATACATATATGTATATGTATACAGGATGTCCCAAAGCACCTTTGACAACGCTCCTGAGCAGGTAGAGCACAGTAAACTGAACAGAAAAGTCCTGTACCATTTTTTTTCTATAACGCTTAATAAAGAAGTTATTATTGAGTAAAGTCTGGTCAATCAGCGCAGACTTTTAGCCGGACGCACGTCAGTGAGCCGCCCGTCTGTTAGTGTGTGTCGCCGTAGCGACGGAGCGCTCACGCACACTACCAGGCGCGCGGCTAAAGGTCGACGCTGATTGGCCAGACTTTACTCAATAATAACTCCTTTATTAAGCGTTATAGAAAAAAATGTTACAGGACTTTTCTGTTCAGTTTACTGTGCTCTACCTGCTCAGGAGCGTTGTCAA